AGCGCGTAAAATCCGCAACATAGCCTGCACATGCTTCCCGGGAAGCTGAGAATGTTTCTGAGTATTTAAGGGTCTGCAATAGTTGTAAAAAGCATAGAGCATGCAATATTATTTTCATGTACCTTGATCTCAGAACAATCAGTAAGATAAGGTACCTCATTTCAAATAATATTGCATGCATGCTCCCAGTCTACCTTAGTTTGCCAAAACTTGACTAATTGCAATTTTGTTCTGTCTGAGAGAATGAAGAAGTTGCAAGTGGCCCAAAACAGGACCTCAGCGAAGCAACAACATCCAAATACGTTAACGTAATTGCTTAAGACCCATTTGCTTAAGTCTCAGTTGTTGTGCGTGGGTAGGTGCTGATGTATCAGATTTTACTCTCTGTTCTTACAGATGGCTTAGAAAGTTTTTCATTACGTGTTGAGCTGGTTTTCTTGTTCATGTAAATTGTTTTTCCTTGTGTGAATGATGCATTACTCTCAGTAATCATGTTATCTCTGAAAAAGCTCTCAGAGCTTATAATATTATTTGTATACGACAGAGCGCTATATAAATGCAATCTATTATATTACTTTTGTGTAGCATCCACTGGTACAGCGTAGAGAAAAGTTTGGCTGTCATTTTTTTGTGCTTATTTTATCTCTGAAAGCGAACGACCCCCATCTCCTCCATAGGCGGTTATCTCAACTACTATTCAAGATAGACGTATATTTTAAAATCAAAAGCAAGAAAAATGAGCAAACTTTCAGATGATATCAATAACTTAGCATGCCCAGAAAAAATATTGGCAAACGCTTTATCCCAAAGCGTTGTGACATAAATTATGATTTGTCAGTGAGGAACAGAGGCTACAAAACTCATTCATGGCTTGAGGTGGTCTGGTTTGAATGAACAAAACCTCGTCATTGAGAATAATTGAAAGGCTTTATGCAGAGGACTACATCGCGTCCTCGCGTGTTATTTTTCATGCATGACAACACACCTTCTTACAGGGTAAAAGTCACAAGATAATTCCAGGAAAACCAAATGATACCAATTTTGGAGTGGCCATATATATGTATATACAAA